AAGGGACCCCAGGAATTAAAAGTCACAGGTGGCAGGCCAGAGAGAAGACATGAGTTGCCTGAGGCTACCCCATGAGTCAGTGGCACAGCCGGCACTAGAGCTTTGCTGGGCACACGCAAACCTCTATGACCCCCTCACCATGCTCACCTGTACCCCCGACCTCCAGCACTCCACCCACGCTAAGGGCCCCACCATCCCCCATCCTACGTGTTCCTGCACAGTTCCAGACTCAGGCCATCCATCTCCTTTAACTCCTCATTGCACTGCAAATACAGAAAGGTTAAGTCAGGATGCAGCAGACAGAGCAGCAGCCGGCCGACAGGAACAACAGGTGCAGTGACTACTCCACAGCAACACCTCCTCGCTCTCAGTCACGCCTGGCATGTTCCCAAGCCATGCCCATGGTCTCCTTTGTTTTTCTTTTCTTTTTTGAGATGGAGTTTCGCTCTTGTTGCCCAGGATGGAGGGCAATGGCGTGATCTCGGTTCGCCACAACCTCCACCTCCCAGGTTCAAGTGATTCTCCTGCCTCAGCCTCCTGAGTAGCTGGGACTGCTGCCATGCACCATCGCGCCTGGCTAATTTTGTATTTTTAGTAGGGACAGGGTTTCTCCATGTTGTTCAGGCTGGTCTCAAACTCCCAACCTCAAGTGATCTGCCCACCTCAGTCTCCCAAAGTGCTGGGATTACAGGTGTGAGCCAATGAGGCTGGCCCTCATTTGTGTTTCAAAGAACTCAGTAAGAGTGGAAGGGACAGAGAAAGAGATTGAATTTATAGCTGGCTAATGAGCCCGGAGAGATCAGATAATATTGCTATTGTTATGGCTGTTATTACTACCACTGTTGGAATCTTCACTGAGTGCTTTACCAGGCACTATGCTAACAATCCCATTTAATCCTCACAACCACCAGGAGACGGTTACTATTACTACCTCCATCGTGCAGATGAAAAACATGGGGTACTAAAGGTTAAGTGCTTGCCTAAGATCACTGAGACAGAGCTGGGATTTCAACACCCAGGTTTCTCTGATTCTCTAAGCCCATTCTTTCTTGGAGGTGGGGGCACAGATAAGAAGGAGGAAATTATTCTTGTTGACTTTTTGAAAGGACAATATGTTCATATAGTCCAAAACTCAGAAGGTACAAAAGGGAAATATCTCCCACTCACACTGATATCTCCCTCTCCTCAGTTTTTAATGAATCCTTACAAACATGTTTTATGTATCTTACCATGATACACGCACACACAAACACGTGTTCCCTCTTTCTACACAAATGGTAACATACTAAAGATACTCTTCCGCACCTTCATGGTACAAGTACCCTAACTCCCACCTAGGATTTGGCCAAGGCCACAGCCAGGTAAGGGCAGGACGGGCACTTGGCCTCTGAGCTCTGTGTCCTGTGCTCACTCCCTATAGCAGCCCCAACTCACCCACAGCCTGCCTCTAACAACCACACACAAAAGCACCAAGAAATGGCCCGTCGTGCCTTCTAGGAAGGACGTTCTATCCTGCAGAAGGGACCTTTAGACTCACTCCTCCATCTGGGAAGCTAGGTTGCCAGGGGACGGGGCAGGTGGTTGGACTCACCCTGTCCGCCGCCTTTTTCTGTGTGGAGACATCAGAGCCTGCCTCAAGTCCTCCACGTGTTGGGAGGCATGTTGCAGGAGTTCGGAGAGGTAACTGCCATCTCCTGGAAGGAGAGCGGTTGAGAGGAGGCCCAAGGGACTCCCCCTAAAAGCCTGTCCAAGCGCCAGGTTGAAGGATGATGGGGTGCCCAGATTCCCTCCTTCTAGCTGCCTGGCCACACTCTCCGTGAAATACAGTTCTCTTTCCAGGACACCGATGGTGTGAGCCTGAGCCTGTGGGAGAAAAGCCAAGCACGTGCAGAAAGAGAAGCAAAGAAACCTTCTCCAGAGGACGGGAGGGAACTCCACACCCTCCACTCACCTCTACCTGCCTCCTGAGCGCTGCCTGATGGTGATGCCTTGGCTTGTTTTCCTACAGAAAGAGGAAGACAGAGCTCTTACTAGGGGGTGACAGAGATGGCACAGGGAGACATGCCCCCAGAATGCACCAATGCCCCAGGACAGGACCACCCATGGGAACAGGTTATTGGGGACTCTGTGGGATAGGGTGGAATCTGGGGGGGTGAGTCTTCTTCCCCAGGATGGGAGTGGGCGAGACAAGACTGGGGCCTCTATGTCTCAGTGCCCCCCAAACGCAGCAGTCATGTCATGAAGAAATCACGTTATTTCATCCAGCTGAGCTCGGTTCTGTTGTTTCTATGGGGAGAGTCAAAGGAAGGTGACTCAACTCTATTCCCCAGGCCAGGAAGCAGTAGGCAGGGGCCCGGAGTGGAGTTTAAAGTCAAAGTTCTCAGACCCAATGGGAACATAAACTAGTAAACTCTCCTCAAGCTCCCAAAGAAAGAGGATTTGGGTCTTTGTTGGTTTTCACCCAGAGCCACAGAACTGAAAGTCTGAAACTAGATTCTCTCCAAAGGACAGTCACATCAATCTTCAGAGATGGAGTGTGAGAAAAGCCCACCCTTCTGCCAGCTTGTTATTTACAAAGGTACATTCATTCAACAAACATTGAGCACATACGGGCCAGCTACATTTCTTCACAGCGGGGATATGGGATAGAAAAGGCAGACAGGAGCCCTTGGCCCCAAGGTTTCCACTCTCGCTGGCCTTGAAATCTTGGACTCTCAGAGCTAACAGAAACCTGTGATACTCTCTAACTCCACCTCCTCAGGAAACACAAGCCCAAGGAGGAGAGGTGTTCACAGCAGGCCCTGTACTAGGGATTAACAAAAAAACAAGAGCAGATCTCATTGAAACTTCACAAAGGTAATTAAAACAATACCACCCCTATTTTACAGATGTGAAAACAGAGGCCCATAGAGCTCAAGCAATTTGCCCTAAATCATATCCCTAGCAGATCTAGCAATAGGCTTTAAACCCAGGATTCTTAACCAGTACCCGGCAGTTCTTCCACAATCTTCACAGTTGCCCTCTACTGTCCCTTGGGCCCTCTGTCCGCTGGAGCCTGGCCAGCCAAGACTCACATCGTCAGGTGAGTGGCAGCCAGCAGAAGTGGTCTCAGGGTCACTGCCATTATTTGCCTGTTGGCGTCAGGTATTCCTGTAGCAACACCAGGGCTGTTGTGCTGATGATAAGATACTCTCTCAGCTGTGAAAAGAAGAGCAGTGATACTCATGAGAACTACAAGCCCCTACGGTCACATCCTACTTCACAGTTTTTTTTTTTTTTCTTGAAACAGAGTCTCACTCTTTCACCAGGCTGGTGTGCAGTGGTGTGATCTTGGCTCACTGCAATCTCCACCCCTGGATTCAAGTGATTCTCCTGCCTCAGCGTCCTGAGTAGCTGGGACTACAGGTGTGTGCCCCTGCACCTAGCTAATTTTTGTTTTTCGCAGACATCGGGTTTCATCATGTTGGCCAGGATGGTCTCGATCTCTTGACCTCATGATCTGCCCACCTTGGCCTCCCAAAGTGCTGAGATTACAGGTGTGAGCCACCGCGTCCAGCCCCTACTTCACAGGTTTTACAAAATAATCTTATAGAGCATCTGATTTAATGCCACCAACAACTGTATGAAGTGTTGTCTCAATCAGTGACTGAGAGGGACTGATCCCGTGGCTGAAACCAAGGCAATAATGGAACTTAAACTCAGTCTTCTGACTCCGACCTCTGGCATTTTGCCACAAATCAGCAGCTGCCACAAACCAAAACCAGAGGCAGAGGTAGAAAGGCAAATATGACGTAGGCAGGAACGGTACACTGTGTGGTTTAGAGTCATACACCCTCACACGTCTGTTAGTGTTAAGAACAGCACCGGTACCTCTCCAACTTTTACGTCACTGTATCCTCATGGCAGAAGGCAGCCTTTCTGTTAAATCTGAGAATTTAACAGAAGAAGACAACCCAAGCCTCATTTCAGAGTGAAGTCTGGTATACTCTTAGAAATCTATGTGACTCTCATCCCTAAGTCCATTAATGTGTCTCTCAAGAGAATCAAGGGAAACTGATGCTTCAGAAAGATGCCCCATATTTACCCTGTGGCACTCAAAGGTTGAGATGAGGAAGATTCAAGCTGTCAACTTCAGTTTCCCAAGATCTGTTCACAGAAGAGAAGCAGATCTCACTCCAGAAACCACTGACTGAAGGGCACTCTGGCCCCAGAACCATGGAGAATTCAAATATGAGGTGAACTCAGAAAAAACGTTAAAGTCTCTCTGGAGAGTAGAAGCCTAGGAGAAAACCAAACCAAACCAGTTCTCCCATTGCCACTCAGGGACAGTGTCAACATTTTGAGCTCATGGGGGAGGTGTAGGCTTTTCACACTGTCAATGTCTGTGTTAAAAGAGTAAGGCAGCCTGAAACCTTCACTCCTAGGTCCAACGATCCCCATTTCTCTTTCAGCTGAAAATCTGTGCTGCAACCAGAGGAACCAGAAATAGGGCCAGAACACTGGGTCTTACATCACAGGCCAGTCTAGTGGCAGTAATGACAGTTCCTAGGGGGACTGTGACATCACTACATCCCACTCCTCTGTGGGGTGGTGGGGACACATCAGTGTGATGCCCGAGTTGCCACTTTGAGATGGAGGTTGTGCAGGGCCAAGAGCCAGGTCCTTGGAGACACGAGCCCAAACAGCCCAGGGAACTCAGGCATGGGGCAGCAGGAGGTGAGGGCCAAGTATAGAGTGGGGAGCCCCAGGAGTCACCTGCCCAAAGTCACCCTAGGGAAACTGGTGAGGGCAGGCATTGGGGCACCCAGGTCCTTGGAGATGCCAGCCCAAAGAGCCCAGGGAGGTTGACCCTGGGGCAGCAGGAGGTGAGGGCAGAGTATGGAGCGAGGAGCCCTGGGAGTCACCGGCTCAAAATCACCCTGGAGCGACTGGCAAGAGCAGGGGCAGGACTGCTAATGGGGTGGGGCTGGCTGACAAGATTTTGGTATAGGAAGGCCAGAGGCACTGGGGGGCCAGCGCAGTGCAGCTCAGGAGTGGCAAGGACTCTGGCAGCAGTCCTGCTGTCACGGGGGACCTGGGGCTGGGTTGGGGGTCCACCACCTGGTGTGTTTTACCTTTTCCTTCGTCCATTTGTGCTTTCTGCTTGCTTTGGACATCTGCGGGGAGGGGGGGGCGGGAGTGGGGTCGGGGAGGGACGCGGGGTTGCGGAGGGATGCGGGCTACAGGACGGACGCGGGGTAGGGGAGGGACGCGGGCTTGGGGAGGGACGCGGGCTTGGGGAGGGGCGCGAGCTTGGTTGGGGAGGTACGCGGAGTTGCGGAGGGACGTAGGGTTGGGGCCAGATCGTCGTGATACAGAAGAGGACGGTGAGATACGTGCTGTCACCCACCACGCAGCTGTTTGACTGAGCCAGAGGCAGCTTAACCAGGGCCTCACTAGAACCCAGAATAGGGGTGTGGCCTGAATGCTTCAAGCTCATTGGTCAATGAGAAAGATAAAAGGGAATGGAGGCATGGCCAGGCATTGGTGTGTCACGAGGGACCTGTGGTGTCACAATGAAGGCTGCCACTCCAGGAGAGGGGCAGGGCTGGGCTTCACTTGAGAAACTTTAAAACTTTATTACCTCAAATCTATAGTATGCTTGACAATGACCAGACTGTATTATCCAACATTCCAATGAGATGAAATAATCACAATGATTTTTTTTTTTTTTGGAAAAGTTTCTTTTAGTCTCATTTTAAATTTTTTTTTTTTTTTTTTTAAAGATAAATGTCTGCGGGGCCCGGTGGCTCACGTCTGTAATCCCAGCACTTTGGGAGGCCAAGGCGGGAGAATCATGAGGTCAAGAGATTGAAACCATCCTGGCCAACAAAGTGAAACTCCGTCTCTACTAAAATACAAAAATTAGCTGGGTGTGGTGGCACACACCTGTAGTCCCAGCTACTCGGGAGGCTGAGGCAGGAGAAATGCCTGAACCCGGGAGGCAGAGGTTGCAGTGAGCTGAGATTGCGCCACTGAACCTCAGCCGGGGGCCTAGTGACAGAGCAAGACTCTGTCTCAAAAAAGAAAAGAAAAAAAGAAACATGTCTAACATCTTTAAAAACACAAAGCTTTTGAGCCGGGCATGGTGGCTCATGCCTGTAATCCCAGCACTTTGGGAGGCTGAGGTGTGTGGATCACCTGAGGTCAGGAGTTCAAGACCAGCCTGGCCAATATGATGAAACCCTATCTCTACTAAAAATACAAAAACTAGCTGGGCATGGTGGCGGGAGCCTGTAATCCCAGCTGCTTGGGAGACTGAGGCAGGAGAATTGCTTGAACCCAAGAAGTGGAGGTTGCAGTGAGCCAAAATTGTGCCACTGCACTTCAGCCTGGGAAACAGAATGAGACTCTGTCTCAAAATAAATAAATAAATACACAAAGCTTTCCACTTAATAAGTATTCAAAGCTCTTTACCAGTTTAAAACAAATACAAGACACTCCTAACGTAAGGCTGAATGCTAAGTGATGGGGGAGAAAAAGGACATAAATAACTCTCACTCTCATGTGGTTAATCACTAAATCCTATTTTTCTAGAATCATCTGGCCTAAGTCCTGTGAATAAACTGAATTTCTCACTTGATACTGGGCTATGACTTGCAATCATGAAAACCTAGAACTGTGTTATGTCACTGTATATTGCTTGTTACCTGAATTCCACATTAGGCTGGGATCAAGGGTTGACTTTTTCATGATTTGCTCCATTACCTGTGTGCTTTTATCCTAGACCAAACTAAGCTTTTTTCTGGAGTTCTACAATTTACAGCTAGTATATAAGAGTGGTTCTCAAAAATGTAGACCAGCACCAGTAGCACCGGGGAACTTCTTATAAATGCACATTCTCAGGCCCCACCCTAGACCTGATGAATGGCAAACTCTAAAGTAGGGCCCAGAAATCTGTGCTGCAATAAGCTCTCCAGGTGTTCAGGAACTGCTGGCATACAGCAGGTAGAAAAAGGTGTTTCCTTCTGTAGGTCCAATGCCAGGGATACTGTATGTTCTGTCTCGGTATGAAACAATGACATAAAATGAAAAGACAGAAATCTCCTTCCTACTCCCACCCTCTAGCCAGTGTGTTTTATTCGTATGAATAAAATAAGAAAACAAGTAGAAATAAGAGATTTCGTCTAAAAAGTATATTTACAGGTGTAAGTTCTCATCCAGCCTGATCTCACTGACTATCATTTATACCCTCTTACATCTTAAGTTTTAGGAAAGGATCTTGACAATGGAAGACACAGGCACACTAGGAGTTCTATCACAGAAGACCAAGTACATCTGAATGTCCAATCTTACTAGAGAAGAAAAGTGGAATCATTGCCTAGATTTTCACACTGCATTCAACAGAAAATTAATGTTTTGAATTTTTATCACCTTCACGCTTCCAGGTTAATAGCATTAAACCAGAATACACCATTCTTCCAAAGCCTCTAGTCAGGCAAAGTTTTACTGCATTGCTTCCTGCTTTTCAATGCTTATAAAGCAGAGTCCTGGTAGGCACATTTTGTATACCTGCAAAGATCCAGAACTAAACAGTTCCATCTGTTCAATATTCAAACAAAAGTCCTGTAAACCTCAGATAGTGAGTGGAATACGTCAACACTAGCACCAAGGCCTCAAATAGAAAAAGATACCAAGAACACCACTAGCAAACAAAAGTAAGCTCTCGGCTGGGAGCAGTAGTTCACACCTGTAATCCCAGCACATTGGCAAGCCAAGGTGGGAGGACTACTTGAAGTCAGGAGTTCAAGACCAGCCTGGGCAGCATAGACAATTCACATCTCTATACAAATTTTTTAAAAGTAGCTGGGCGTGGCAGCACACATTTGTAGTCCTAGCTACTTGGGAGGCTGAGGTGGGAAAAATCACTTGAGCCCAGGAGTTCGAGGCTGCAGTGGCTACGATCATGCCACTGCACCCCAGTCGGGGTGACAGAGCGAGACCTAGATAATTACATTCTGTCCTGCTCCACTAAAATCACTAAGTTAAAACACTTTCAGTCAGCAGGATAAACATTAAGTGAAACGTGACTTTAGTGCTTGGCTGGCAAAATCAATCAACAAAAAAATAAAGCGAAATAAGAAATTACTTATTGGGAGAAAGTCTTTGTAACTTCAGTGACAGATAAAGGGTTTCTATCCTTAGCCTGTAAAGAAATC